TCCGGAGCCCTTCACCTCGGTGGCTTCCAAGGTGGCACAGTGTTCTGAAAACCTACCACTACACCTGATCTTTGCATCCACAAAGTTTACCACTTAAAAGAAACTCCCCTTTTTGCTTCTCTCCCAGATTACCAACAAGACTGCCTGGCAATAGGTACACATCACCCTTGTATTGCTTAAGATTCATTCAATAAATTTCATTTTCAGCAAGGAGATCCCTTCCTAAAATTGAGACACAAGGTGCTTTGGTAAATTAGCACCATGTACCTTGCATCTCCATGCTCTCCATCCAAAAGCACATTGGCTACAACCCTCTCATATCCCCTTTCAGGTCAGAAGCCTGTTCTACTCACAGCTGTAAAAGAACTAGTTGAGTAATCTTCCTCCGTCCCACAGGCTACGAGGTCCGTGGGGGTAAACATGGACTGGCAAGTAATGCCCTGCCGGAGCAGGGAAAGCCAGAGCTGCAGCTGCCAACTGCAAGCACCCGACTCCAGCACGTGTGCCATGGATGCAGTACTGACCTTGCCACAATGGTCCCCATGCTCGCTTTCGAGCATGGAAATTTCTGAAAGAGGATGCAGCCTTCATGAACTGTAGAGATTTCTAACAGAAATAGACTGGTATAAATAAAGTATGAACAGAAATGTTTACGTGCAAGGTGACTAGAAGAAATGATAAAGCACGGGTTAGAAGAGTGGCATGTGCTGACAGGCACAGACACAATTTGGAAATACAACCGGTACGCACTGAGGGATGGTGTGGCTTACACCAAGGCGAGCAGCAGGCCTGCACCCCTGCAGCAGGAGGACAGCAGCGCAGTTGCAGCACACCCTACAAGCCATCTCCTTCTCTGCTCTACCAACAAGGAGACAAACTACAGCTGTGAGACATCCAAAACAAGGAAACACAACAGGGGAGGAGCGACCTTGCCTAAGATTTACGGAGGATGATGTAAGAAAGAAAATGACAGGATAGCAACTGTCTCCTAGAGGTTACCAAGCACCTTCTCCAAAAAGCAGCACTCAGTTGCCAGCCAGAAGGAATCCAGATGCTGTAGCTGGTGTTTGGTAATCGGTATCCACCATCCTCCATGCCATGGTCAGCATGACTTGTGGAAATGCATGTTCTTGGTGTGTGCAGGTACGGGAATGCAAATGGGCACAGTCAACTTACTTAGACTATTACAATAAAAATCAGCTTTCCTTCCTATGCAGTGTTACATTTGAGTTTTGTTCCACTAGTTCCCACAGAAGCATGCTCTGAGGTTCACAGCAGCTTACCAAGCAAGTCACAGCAGAACTGCACTATGCGACCGACTTCTTCATCAAGAGGCAGCTTGGCTAAATGTGAAAGTTTGGAGACTGCTTAAAACACTTGGTCCATTTAAATCAAAGCTTGTATGGTAGAAGCTGGTGGGCTAAATGCAACTGTGTCTAGAGGGAAGAACACAGCGGTGACCCATAAGGGCACAGGTCAAACCTGTTCCACTAACACAATGACAACTGAGAAGGCATAGCTGACAGGGAATGATTCAGTTTTAAGTCTGATGGTAGAGGCCCTAATAGGCAAAATGCATGACCTAAGGGGGATGACGAGCTACAGCAGCTAGAATCTGCATTCACGTCCTCCCAGAGGACAACAGGCATGGCATACCCATGGTACTGCCAAGCAAGCCACTGGACACACTAAAATACTCTGGACTAATATCCAGTGCAGAACATAGGTGCTAATGACTTTCAGTATTTGACACCCACCTAACTCCTCACCTTTTCTGTTGTTTGCTTTTCAAACTTTGTAAGAGAATTTCTTGAAACTAGGCAATGGCAATACCGAGATGCCTCAGTGCAGTATTCAGTCTTGGTTCAGAAATACACAGAAAGCAGCTGATGGTCTTTCACAGCTCCCGTGCCAAGGAATGGTACTTTTTTCCTGGGTCCATCCACTCACTTAGGGATCTGGACGCTACAGCTTATCACATGAGGCAGGAAGTCAGTTCCTAGGGAATGAAGAGTGGCTTTTCCTCATCTTAAATATACGTATGTCTTCACCCCTGAGCCGTGGCTCTTTTGGATATGCCAAAGCCATGCCACCAACAGTCACAGCTGCCCATCTGTCTTTTTTTCCTTTTTTTTTTTTTTCTCCCTTCCCCCGCTATAGCTATTTTTTAGTTATCGTAAGTTTTGATTCAACAAGTTCATAAGCTACTTCCAGAGACTCATCAGAACTCAGTATTCTATAGCATGATGTATTCCAACACATCCCTGGCTGGCAGCCACAGCATACTGGAACTACGGTTAGCTCAGCTGAGACCCACCATTTCTCACAATGCACCCCTAGTTTTGAAAGAGAAAACTGCAAATCATTCCCTCATGAAGATCCCTCCTAAGAGTGGTGTGCATCCTCAAGAGAAAACATATGCTGGAGATGATGAGAAATTAATCTCTTCTATCAACAGCAGAACAAGAGAACTTAGTTGTTACAGGTTAAATTCATTTTCCTAGAAGCAAAGAAATGAGATCTGTGCCATTGAAGCTGAGGTTAATGCTACAAGAATGTTTTAGTCCTGGAGGCTTCATGTGATCAAATCTTGCAGAAAACAGTCTGAGGTCTGCCGTGAGTTTTCACTACCATGTTCAAAGCCATTTGCTCAGCTCCCACTTCACCACCAAAGGCAGTGGGCTAACTTTGGTGATGAAAATGAATTTACATTTCCGTGCCAATGGTATCTGTTCTTAGCATTGGGACACCGAATGGCAGTATTCTTCAGTGTCAAGACACTAAAGTTCATTTTTTAAACATCATGAAGGCCTCAAGGACTGCTGCCAGAAAGAAGCCTCTCTAAATCATGCTATTTGCACCTTCTTGAAGGCAATGCAAGTGTGTGCTGAACACCTGCTTTGTCTATAGGACTGTGCTGATTTTGGCTGGGATAGAGTTAATTTTCTTCATAGCAGCTAGTATGGGGCTATGTTTGGATGTTTTGGATTTGTGCTGAAAACAGTGTTGATAACACAGGGATGTTTTTGTTATTGCTGAGCAGTGCTTACACAAAGTCAAGGCCTTTTCTGCTTCTCACACCACCCCACCAGCGAGTAGGCTGGGGGTGCACAAGAAGCTGGGAGGGGACACAGCTGGAACAGCTGACCCCAACTAACCAAAGGGATATTCCATACCATATGACGTCATGCTCAGCATATAAA